CTTTCAACAGCATAGCTGAGAAAGTATTTCTTTAAAATTTGTCTCCAATATACTGAATTATATCATCTTGAGCCTGTCCACAGTGATTTAACAAAGTAGATAACGTGAATATCTTTAGAAACGAAGTGCAATTCTGGCTGAAGCTTGCTTTCCTTCCTGCAAATACCTCTACTCCTATCCTGCTTCCTCCCTTAGAAGTCTTTTTGCTGGCTCAACCTGCAATTAACTCTTTTCTCTAATTCTCCTCAACAGAAGTAACTTGCAATTCCCATATATCTCAACTAAAATCCTACAACTATCCTCAGAAAGGGTCTACAGAAATAAATTTACTTACACTAGACTTCTGCAGAAAGGGAATGAGGCTAGACCAGGATTACTTAAAGCCTATGTGGCGATTCAATTGTTCTTTTCTGATACAGCAGACTTTTACTGAATTAATTCCCATGTGCCAGCACTGTGTTAAGAACTGGAGACGTGACAGCCAGTAACACAGTCCCCTCCCCTCAAAGAGCTTGTGGTCTAGGTCACAGGTTCACAACTGTTTTAGACTCAGGACCTGTTTAAACTCCTAAAAATTACTGAGGACCCCAAAAGAGCTTTTGTTTCTGTGAGTTCTATCTGTCAATATTCATGCATTTAAAATTAAAACTGAGAACATTTTTTTAAATAAGCCCATCACATATTAACATTAAAAAGTGTATTCCGGCCGGGCGCTGTGGCTCACGCATGTAATCCTAGCTCTTGGGAGGCCAAGGCGGGCGGATTGCTCAAGGTCAGGAGTTCAAAACCAGCCTGAGCAAGAGCGAGACCCCGTCTCTACTATAAATAGAAAGAAATTAATTGGCCAACTGATATATAAATATAAAAAAAAAAAATTAGCCGGGCATGGTGGCGCATGCCTGTAGTCCCAGCTACTCGGGAGGCTGAGGCAGAAGGATCACTCAAGCCCAGGAGTTTGAGGTTGCTGTGAGCTAGGCTGATGCCACGGCACTCACTCTAGCCTGGACAACAAAGCGAGACTCTGTCTCAAAAAAAAAAAAAAAAAAAAGTGTATTCTTTTGAAAAATACATTTTTCTAAAATATTAAATATAGAGAACACATTAAATATAAAATAAAATTTAGTAAGAAAAGTAGCACTGTTTAAATTTTTTTCAAATATTTTTAATATCTGGCTTAATGGAAGACAACTGGAATCACATTTCTGCTTCAGCATTCAATCTGTCACGATATGTTGTTTTGACTGATGTGTATGAAAAAAAAACAGACTCAAGCAGATATATAATTAGAAAAGGGTGGAACCTGACAATCTCCTGAAAAAGTCTTGGGGTCTCCCTAAGGGTCCTTCAACCACACTTTGATAACAACTGGTTGAAGCAATGATTTCCAAATGTTTTTTATCAAATACTTCATCAGTAAAAAATCTGAAATGTGCCCACCAGCATATGCGTATTCATTTAAATATATTATTCTGCTAACATATTATTTCTATTATAAAACATATATAGAGGATATTTAAGATAATATGAAAAATAAAAATAACTAGAAGTTCTAATGTTCCTCTCAGTATCCCAATACACTGAGTATAAACTTATTTTGGAGACTGCTGGACTACGATATATATAGAGAGAGATATAGATATACAAAGAAACAAGATAATGTCAAACAGGCTCTAAAAAGATGAGATTGTCATTTTGTCCCACTAATAAAACACTAGCCCCATAGGGACTAATTCTTTTTGGGTTTTCTTCAATTTTTAAAAATAGAGAATCTTTTCCTTTCATCTCAGATTAATGGGTTTATTTTCCAGTTAGAACAGTATTGGCTGGGCGCAGTGGTTCATGTCTGTAATCTTAGCACTCTGGGAGCAGAATGGCTTGACATCAGGAGTTCAAGCCCAGCCTGAGCAAGAGCAAGATCCTGTCACTACAAAAAATAGAAAGAATTAGCTGGGTGTGGTAGTTAGCATCCGTAGTCCCAGCTACTTGGGAGGTTGAAGCAAGAGGATTGCTTGAGCTCAGAAGCTGGAGGTTGCAGTGAGCTATGATGAGGCCACTGCACTCTACCCAGGGTGAGACTCTGTCTCAATTAAAAAAAAAAAAAAAAAAGAAGAGTAGTATTTATTACAGATTTAGAAAATAAGACAATAAAATATATTACTATAATCTTTTTTTTTTCTTTTCGAGACAGAGTTCTACTTTGTTGCCCAGGCTAGAGCGAGTGCTATGGCATCAGCCTAGCTCACAGCAACCTCAAACTCCTGGGCTCAAGCAATCCTACTGCCTCAGCCTCCCAAGTACTGGGACTAAGGCCATGCACCACCATGCCAGCTAATTTTTCTATATATACTTAGTTGGCCAATTAATTTCTTTCTATTTAAGGTAGAGACGGGGTCTTGCTCTTGCTCAGGCTGGTTTTGAACTCTTGACCTTGAGCAATCAGCCCGCCTCGGCCTCCCAGAGAGCTAGGATTACAGGCGTGAGCCACAGCACACGGCCTTACTATAATCTTAATACTCAGAGATAATTACTAATAACATTTCTGTGTATATGCTTACCGTTATTTCTCTATAAACTGGAATCTACCATATTACCTGCATTTTTCAAACAATACATTTAAATATCTTTTTATATTAAATATTTTCTACATCAATATTTTTAACAGTCTCGTGTTTCATGAAATGAATCTACTATAACCTAACGAATTCCCTATGATAGAACATTTAGATAGCTTCTAATCTATGAAAAAGGCTATGACAAAACCTTTGTATTTTTTGTATTGTCTGTACCACATGTATCTTTGTGTTTTCCCATGAAAAATTCTTCAGGTAATTACCTACAAGTAGTATTGCTGAGTGAAAATGTATATACATATTTACTATTTCTATGGATTGCCTAGTTTACTCAACTGTTTTGCTGGTGGTTTGGGGGTTTTTGTTGTTGTTGCTTTTGGTTTGGTTTGGGGTTTTTTGAGACAGGGTCCCATTCTGTTGCCAGGGCTAGAGTGCAGCGGCATCATCATAACTCACTGCAACCTTAAACTCCCAGGCTCAAGCAATCCTGCCTCAGCCTCCTGAGTAGCAAGGACTACAGTCACGCACCACCAGGCCCAACTAATTTTTCTATTTTTCTGAGGATACAGGCTCTCGCTGTGTTGCTGAGGCTGGTCTCAAATTCCTGGCCTCAAGCGATCCTCATGCCTCAGTCTCCCAAAGTGCTTGGGTTATAGGCCACCATATGAGCAACCACACCTAGCCTGTTGTTTTTTTTAAGAGATAGAGTCTCGTTATGTTGCCTGGCTCAACTTGGATTCCTGGGCTCAAGAGATCCACCCATCTTAGCCTCCCAGGTAGGAAATCTATTATATGAACATCATTCCTACTGTGTCTCCTGGGCAAAATATATCTCCCCTTCTCCCAGTTTTTAACCACCTTTAATTTAATGAAGCGTCCATCCTAGAGCTAGTAAAACAGGAGCAGAAAGAGTCTGAGGAAATGTGACGGTGACCACCTCTCACACATCCACCATCAGCACTATCTGCACTCAAGAATCACGACACACCCCTGCTGCCTACCCATACTACAACCGTGGGCTGGTGGGCACCAGGAGCTGCAGCAGGTGAGTGGGGTAGAAGGCTGAGAGGAAACACAAGGGACCGACAACACAGGGAGGGGCTAACAAGGTCCTGCACAAAATATTTCTAAACATTCCTATAGAAGACAATTTCAAGACCTAGTGAGCTCAGGGTAATAGGACAATTTTTTTTTTTTTTTTTTTTTTTGAGACAGTCTCACTCTGTTGCCCAGGCTAGAGTGCTGTGGTGTCAGCCTAGATCACAGCAACCTCAAACTCCTGAGCTCAAGTGATCCTCTTGCCTCAGCCTCCTGAGTAGCTAGGACTACAGGCATGCGCCACTATGCCCAGCTAATCTTTTCTATATATTTTTTAGTTGGCCAATTAATTTCTTTCTATTTTTAGTAGAGACGAGGTCTCACTCTTGCTCAGGCTGGTTTCGAACTCCTGACCTTGAGTGATCCACCGGCCTCGGCCTCCCAGAGAGCTAGGATAACAGGCGTGAGCCACCTCGCCCAGCCTAGGACAATTTTTTAAAAATCAATTTTATTCACATGAGTTAATATACCATTTTTTTTCTGTATCAACTGTGATTTTTGCCTTTGATTTGAATTCAAATTTCAGATTTGAAAAATATACTATTAGTAATAATATTCAACTTAACATGATGCTACCAATGAGAAGAGTTGAAAGGTCAAATCCCACCAAATGATCTCAGGGATGATAAGGATGAAAAGAATAATTACAATGGAATTGACAATGATACAGCTACAATTTTCTTAGAAGGTACTATCGGTTGAGTATCCCTCATCTGAAATGCTTGGGACCACACATGGTTAGGATTTTGGATTTTTTAAATTTTATTTTGGAATATCTGCATACACATAATGAGATTATCTTAGGGATGGGAATGAGACCCAAATCTAAAAACAAAATTCATTTATGTTTCATATACACCTTATATACATAACCTAAAAGTAATTTTATACAATATTTTTAATAAATTTATGTATAAAACAGAGTACTGACAGTATTTTGACTGAAATCTATCACATGAGGTCAGGTGTGGAATTTCCCACTTGTGACTTCTTAGTGGCACTCAGGTTTTAGATTTTGGAGCATTTCAGATTTTGGATTTTTGGATTAGGGATGCTCAACCTACATATATATATGGCCAGTTCTGTTCTAAGCATGAGTTATCTCAATCTTCACAACAACACTATGGAAGATATCATTATTATACCAAAAAAAGAAACCAAAACTTAAAATGTTAAATAACTTGCTTCCCTCACATGGCTAATAAACAATTACAACCAGGATATGATTGCTGACAGTATTGATTTTATAGTAATTTAAAAATGTCCAATTTACAAAGCCAACTATATTAGAACACTATAATAAGGAAAGATAAATATTTAATCAATTCTTACCTCTTCAGGCAGTTCACTGTACATGGTTTCAGAGGTAGACAATAAAAAAATAGGTGAAAACGATGGTATATCTTGTAGCAATGTCAGAAAAGTTGCTCTCACAGTTTCACTGACAGCTTCCCACCAATCACCAATGTGAGGCATGTAAACAATACTAGGTACTGTTCTTCGAGCTTCACGAAAAATCTAATTAGGGAAAGAATCAGCAATTACAACTCAAACTGATTATTCTAAAATCTACCCAGTGACCTCCAAATATATGAGATGTGTCAGGCCTGTTACTGTCATTTGTTTCAGCCCCCAAATTTAAGTTCTTTAAGATATGCTGCACAAGCTTTACATATAGCTTCTATCTACCCTTACCCCACCAAAAAGGGGTATTTTTGCCATTTAATTATTCCTATTCAGTATATGTTAATAGAATAAAGGTATCAAATTGTTCCACTTACTATGTAAAGACAATAAAGCAAAATACCACTATAAAATATGCTGCAAATAAAGAGATAAACATGCACCTATGTCACCCAAGTTAGAATGCTATCAGTAAGCTTTATACAAAGAAGAAAATGACAACATAGTATATGTTTCAGCACACTACCTAAAATCACTTAACACATGAATTAAACATTTTAACCAAGATGCACCATCCTAAAGGTTAAAATTAATAAACTTCCTGCTGAACCACTTGTTCACCTTCTCCCATTACCTTAGTTCAGTCTTTCATAAAATAGTCACAAAATACTCTTACTTCTCTAAAGAGTAATAAATTAGCAAAGAGCTCTGAGACACTTCTATTGTCAGAAAATACAAAATGAAGTTTTCCTCAGTGGTTAAAAAGAGTCCTCACCATAGTTTCAGTCACGCTCTGCCAATAAGAACCAGGTTGGCTACTAGTAAGCTGCCAAGCAGAACTACTGTCCTTTACATATAGGTCAGTAGCTTAATAGCCCACCAATAAATTCTCACATATTATGACATCACTTCATTATTTTTAAGAAGTTTAGGTATAAATGTAAAGATCTGACTGTATTTCTTCAATCTAACTTGAGAATTCTATTCCTAAAATGCTATACTTATTTTCCCTTATTTCAAACACATTTTAATTACTGAGTCTATGTAACGTACAAAATACAGAATTAAGAATCTAACATTAGGCCAGACACAGTGGCTCACGCCTGTAATCCTAGCACTCTAGGAGGCCAAGGCAGGCAGATTGCTCGAGGTCAGGAGTTCGAAATCAACCTGAGCAAGAGCAAGACCTCGTCTCTACTATAAATAGAAATTAATTGGCCAACTAATATATATAGAAAAAATTAGCCGGGCATGGTGGCACATGCCTGTAGTCCCAGCTACTCAGGAGGCTGAGGCAGATTGCTTGAGCCCAGGAGTTTGAGGTTGCTATGAGCTAGGCTGATGCCATGGCACTCACTCTAGCCTGGGCAACAATGTGAGACTCTGTCTCAAAAAAAAAAAAAAAAAATCTAACATTAAAAATGATTATCAGAAACATTCCTCAGAATCAAAAGGATTATTTTTCTTTAATGAGTAAGCTTACCACTTGCGTGAGTTTTTAAAATAATACATTTTATACAGCTTTAAATTCCCTGTGTAAAATAAAGTGTACTGCCACATTAATAATAAACCAGATGAAAGAGGCTCAAATAAATTTTCCCCAAAATTGGAAAAAATGTAGATATTATGATCACTCACATCGAAAGTAATATTTGCTCCTTCCCTTCCTTAATATTTGCATATCCACCAATCCAGAACAGTTGTACAGTACAACTCCTTCAGGACTCTCAAATTTTGACCTTTTCTGCAAACACGCACCCTCCTATCCTGGATCTTGGAAATCCAAGGATTATTTTTTTCCAAAGTTCTTGTAGGAAATTCATAAGAGAAAAACAAGCATAAATATTGGCAAAAGGAAGGAACCACACAGAAGCACAAAGGCAACTGAGGCATTTATTTTTTTAAAAAATTACATGCCACCCTACTCAGGCATGGTATGTGGAAGACAGTGGCTGACTCCTTTTGTTGCTTTCCAATTCCCCACTCCATGCTGGTAAAACTAGGAAGAATAAGCAGGGAGAGAAAGAGAATCATATGAAAAAGACTAATGAGCTATAGCTCACTAAGAAACCTCAAAAAACTAACCACCTAATTCAGCCATGCAAGTTACCACAAGCCCAGGGGATAAAAGAGATGTGAAAACATACCTTTAAAAAAAAATAAAAATTTGCCTTTCATTCTACTACTTCTAGGTTAGGTTTTCCAGGACTGTGAGTTGAGAACATCTAGCAGTTAAGTGACAGAGAGAATGGGCAAAGCAACAAAAGGTTAAGTGATAACAAGAATTTCACAGATCCAGAAGTTAAATACTACCGGTGATTTAACTGTATTTGCAAGGCTGAACTAGGCTGAACAAGCATCACCAGCTATAAAAGAGATGGGTTTTTTTCCTTATGTCTTTTTTCTTCCTTTCATCCAATCCCTTCAAAATTAACAAATTAAACATGATATCCTATTGACCCTATAAAAAATTTAGACACTGTTTATTTCCACATCCTTTAGGACAATATCCTTCTTGGCAGAATTCTTTAAACTATGAAAACCTAGAGTAGGAAAAAAATCAGACAAGTCTAAGATGAATATGGAAAAATAAAAAGGCTTTCTGATTCATGAGTGTATAATTACCTAAATTGAGAATTAACCTAAGTATATGAGATACAAATATCCAGGGAATAGTTTTATAATTTTTCTCCTAAGCATTTAGGGGAAAATCATGCTTAACTACTAAAACAAGTTTTCTTTGTAATTCCTTACTCCACGTTATCTCAGAATATTAAAATAAACTTCTATATTTTCTTTAAACTTATAACCAACATATTCTAATTCCTATTTTTATAATGATAATTCAAAAAAAGTTGAGTTTGAGAATTGCATTTAAAAATTCTTACAGTATTAATATCAGGGGGAAAGTTCAATCTTATTGTGATCTTCTTTTGTGTGTGTAATATAAAAACAGCTCTTCAGCAGCTTGCTGGTAACTTTTAAAGTTGTGTAGTAAAATACATTCTGCGAAATCAAGCAACCAGTTATTTCAGAGTAGAAAAATAAAGCCTAATTTAATGAAGCGTCAATTGTCTTGGGAATAAGTGATGCCATTTGAGAACTAGAAAAATACTCACCTATAGGGTGTCTTGGATTGGTGGATGTGCAAGGTGTAGTAGAAAACAGAAAAACTGTTATAGAGAAAAAAAGACAGTAGGCCAAATTACTGAACCAACCGTTTCAAAATAATTCTGACATGACCAGCACTCTTGCACAAGTAAAATGAACAAACACCAGTATATGTGAACTGTTCATTTTGATTCTTTATTAAAACAATGTACTCCATTTCCTCTGGCCTCCTTCTTGCCACAGATGTCACAGCCCCTTAGATAAATAACTTTTTAAAACATTCTTTGCCTAAAAAAAAAAAAATCACAAGCTACTTCCTCTGAATATTAATGATAGTAAGGCAAAAATAAGGCCACTGCAACCATACAAGGAAGCACTAATGATATAAACTGTACTTATATTAGTTATAAGAGTTCTAAGCATCTCAAAAGCTAAACTCTTTAAGCTTTCAGCAACTAAATTGAAGGGTTCAGTGCATGAAAATTTAGAGTATTTTTTAAAATTAAGAATTTATGGCCCCATAACAAGTTAATTCCTTCAGAAACTGAAAATTAGAAAAATTTTAAATACAAATGTGAATGAAGCAGAAATCTCATAGCCAGCATAGCTTTCACTTGCCAAAAAGGGGATATACAAGAAAGAGGGAAAACAACTTTATGCTATCAAAGAAACTTCCAGAACTTATCTCAGTCATTTAACAGTATTATATATAAATGTACTAAAATTACAAAACACAGGTAAAAGAAAAATCTTGAGAGCTAAAACATTCTCAATTTTTACAAAAAGTAAAAAGCTGGCTGGCATGATGGCTAACACCTATCATCCCAGCACTCTAGGGAGATGAGGTGGGAGGATCACTTAAGCCCAGGAGTTCAAGGTTGTAGTGAGCTGTGATTGTGCCACTGCACTCCAGCCTGGACAACAGAGCAAGACCCTGTCTCTAAAAAAATTTTTCTAAATAAAAAAATAAAAAGCACTAATAACTTTAAATCCTTGTGTTAACCTATCTATTAAAATAACCTAATTATTAAAATAAATAATAACTGTATTACTGATTACTTTATTCCATTTATATCACTTTATTCCATTTACCTAAGATTTACTGAGCATTTTCTGTGAAAAGAAGGCACTGTCTAGATTCTAAAAATTCAGTAATCAAGAAATAAGGTGCAAATTTCTTTACATGCATAGAATATCAGCCTGTCATAAAACACATCTATACTAGTTTCTGAACTATGGCAGTAACACAAATTAATATTTTATGAAAACTAAATCACTCAAATTCTTTTCTTGATATTTTCATTCCCTAGGACTTTAAGAGTTGCAGTAAGAGTTATATACTCTAGATCGGATTAATTTAATTTGCTTACCACTCAAAAAACAAAAAAGGTGTTGCTATGGAAAAACCCAGTCATGTAAGCAAACATAAAAGCATCCAAAGTATACTCTGACTGCTACAGAGAAACCCAGAAGCCCATAAGCACCAATACAAGAGCAACTAAAGTATACATATAGGTGAGTATATTAAATCCCTAATGCTACTCAACCAAAAAATTTCCCGAGAATTTTCAGATAAAATTTCTTTCTATGGAAAGAAAAATATTAAAACTTTTACCAAAAAAAGACCTTATTCACCTTTTGAAATTATTCATACCACCGCCTAGATACCTATACTCCAAAGCTTTCGACAGACCATGTATAAGTTAATTCAATCATGACTTTCTATTAAAAATATAAAATTCAGGCCGGGCGTGGTGGCTCACGCCTGTAATCCTAGCACTCTGGGAGGTCGAGGCAGGCAGATTGCTGGAGGTCAGGAGTTCAAAACCAGCCCGAGCAAGAGCGAGACCCCGTCTCTACTATAAAATACCAAGAAATTAATTGGCCAACTAATATATATAGAAAAAATTAGCTGGGCATGGTGGCACATGCCTGTAGTCCCAGCTACTCGGGAGGCTGAGGCAGCAGGATTGCTTGAGCCCAGGAGTTTGAGGTTCCTGTGA